GCCCACAACCCCCCTCCCCGCCCCCGCCCGACGCTGGCCCTCTCCGTCCAGCGTCTCCCGCGACACCGGGCGCCCATCGATGGCCTCGGCTAGCTGCACCCTGACCCTGCCTAGGCTGCTCGCCGTCTGCGAACACATCAGTCACACTTCGACATAACTCCACCACTCCATACAGTATTGCCCTAAATTTTTTCCATCTTCTCCTTCAAACACTTGCACTTCCGGAAGATTCTCCTTCAATCACCATCGCATTCTGTTGAATCATTAATCATTCCCCGCATCAGCCAGTCAGCTTCTGCGTGTACCTCGCGAGACAACTTCCTCCGAGCCTGCCGCCCACAGATATAGCTACGCTTATTCTATTTCCTCCTTCGAGATCGTGCTCGAAATGGCCGCATGCGTCGCTCCTACCCACGCCAGACGAATTTAGTACCACATCGTCATCCTCTCATAAAACATGTAATAAAACACACAATCCAGTCACCTGCTCGCCCCCGCCCGCCAAGTTTTCTGCTCTCGCAAATTTCCCTCCCTGCTGACGACCGCCATCCTTTGCTTCCGGCGCCGGCTCTGCCAACAGCCGTCCAATCATCCATCCCTCTGCCGAGCTCCCTTTAGCCTTTTGTGACTTCGTCTCGACCCACGTCCCCACATGGTCCTCAGCTGCGCTTCAGCCCAAACGGGCCATCGCTACCATTCCCATCAACACCTCCCTGACCTATTCGTTCTTTCACCCCTCCTGTGATCAGTCCCCGTGGGGCGCGCTCAGCGCTCATTACCTTACCCTATGCGGCAGGTTCCGGCTCCAAATCCAATTTGATCAGTAGCATTGGATATTTGAATATACTACAATATTGTTACAACATTGTCAGACAATTTGATTATACATGAGACACGGCTAGCGTTCATTGCAACCCTTCCGGTGCGCGCATATCGAGTTCACGCCCCGCTCATCCCTGCAGGCCTTCCAGGATCACCTTGATACCCCAAGCGCCGGGATCAGGCACTTGCTCCTGCCTCAGACGATCCCCCTCCACATACGCGCTACGGCCCGCCTTTGCCTCCAGATCTCGCGTTTTCTGTGCTGCTTCTCCCGCGGCCTGGACTGCACCCGCAAAATCGCTGCCCTGTGATGCCGACAGCCGCACGACGAACGCCTCTAGCGGGTCGACCAGCGTGCGCGACGGCGGGCGCGCCCGCGTGTATGTGTACAGCTTCTCTAGCGCAGACGTGAGCGACGTCGCCCATTGCGCGGCGGTAAGCGTCCCCGCGCCGCTGGAGGAGGCTTGCAGGCCCTGTGCGAGAGCCGAGAAGAAAATACTGTGTACCGGAACGGCGACAGTCAGGACAAGTCCAGGACACATGCCGATCAGCGGGACGTACGAATACAGCGCTCCGCTCGTCCCTCCCATCTGCTCCTCGGCCACTTTTGAGACTGCAATCGCCGAACCGACCACGTTCTCCCCCGAGATCTTGCCGCTCTCGACGTCCTTTAGCACAGCTATACGCCGCACGGACTCACATGTTAGCGCCCGTCATTGCCGCTTCAACCCGCATATAGCAGGCTGAATGAGACACCGGATAGACCTAGCACGCACCGTTGGCTCCGTCCTTTAGTGTCAGACCACAATCTCCATCGCCTGCGATGCTGTCCATTCTTGTGAGCTCCGGCTCTGCCTCGATGAGCGCTTTGCACGTGCGTTTGACGGATGCTATGAAAGCCTGGGGGTCATCAACTCGGAGCTTCGTCACCTCTCCGACAGCGGCCGCGGAAGCTACACCGGATGTCTGCTTGGTCTGCTCCGATGGCCGCAGCGGCTTAGCGGGAGCAGTCCACTTCCATCCCGGAACGTCGGGCTTCTCGTCCAGGAGTTCGAGGAGAAGCGAAGCCGAAGGCGCGGAACTGTCGGAGGATTGGGGCAGGAGAAGCACAGTGATTGAAAAGCCAGGCATATTCAGACTCGTCTGGACAGAAGGTTCGACGTCATCTAGGCGACCGCAATCTCGGCATGGGACGAGACGTACCATAAATGTACCCGCAAGCACCCGCTCGATCTGGAATCCCTGTGCTTCCAGTGCAGTCCGAGACTCGCGCACGACGCCCGCCATCTCGAGTTCGCTCGTCCCTCCGAGATTGTTGATCAGGAGCACGATCTTATCCTGGCCCTTGAATGGGAGGAACGACCGCTCTGGGTCGGTTGTCGACGTGAGCAGCTCCAGGAGCTGGGGAATTAGCTCATTCAGCGGCGGCACGGGAGATAGACGGCGGTTTCCTGGCTCGTTGTGGATGCCCATGCCAATCTCAATCTCATTTGGCTTCAGGTGCGATTCGCCAGCAGCCGTTCCGGGGACCTCATCGACGATTGGAAACGCATCAGCAAAGGGCGAAATTGGGCCAATAAAAGCAGCACTCACATGACAGTGTTCTAATCCTACGCCAATCGTACCAACGTTGGCCGCAACCCATTGAGCGATGGAGTTCACTTCGTCAAGGCCTCCGCCCCGTTTGGCTAGCGCGCCAGCGATCTTGTACACTAAACAAGTACCGGCAAGACCTCTGCCAGCATGATAAGCACGCGGGAAAATGAATAGACGATAATCGCACATACCTTCTGCCGACGATCTTGCCCTGTGTCTTGCCTACGGCGACGTCATCGCCAACAATAACAAACTTGACACGATCAGACTTTTCTGGATGTTGGGCCGCATATTGCTCTTTCGCCAACCCGAAATTGAGAATGTCTCCAGTATAATTTCTTTCGTGGAAAGATGTATTAGCATATGGGAAGTTTGACAGCAGTTGTGCAACGTATGACTCACTTAACTATGATCACAGTTCTGCAATAACATGCATAGTCAGCAAAGCATACACAAGTATGAGTTAGGGACAGCTACGTACCCCTTTTCGTTCTCCACGAGATCAATGGCCCGACGCACTTGGAAAGTGTTTGGGGATGCAAACACACTCCCACAGGCAGCAGCTGAGCACCCATGTCTCGAATCAGCATCTCCGTCCCATGCTCCCATATAATCCATCAAGGTACTTGCCAGTGAGCATGCCATCGCCTGAGAATCAGCGCAGTTGAGTATGATGTCATTTTATCGATGCAACAAGAACTGACCAACAAACCCTGCATGGGCAGGCTCATGGCCTGACCCTCCGCCGCAGATAAGGGCGACCTTTGAACGGTCCGGTTTCGCAACGTAGACGACTGCAGCGGCCCGCCGTCAGTTGTTTCACGGAAGGAAATGATCGGATAGAGGATCACCTTTATCCGCCACATCGAGCGCGAGCTGCGGGTTGAGAGTACAGAGTCCTTGCAGGGATTCCACTACAAGGTTCTCCGGAGCGTTGGTGAAGTGCTTGGCTGGCGCGAGGTCAGCGGGAAAACCAAGCATGCACGACATTAAGATGGGACAGACATTGAACAGACATCGTAAGCAGACGGGACTCAGTCTGGAGTAAAATAGATTGTGGAGATCATAGGGAGCGGCGGTGGCCTATATATGCAGCGACATGCTGCGTGTCTCGGTGGGAGGCGTCCCGTCTGGCCCCTATGAAGTCAAGGAGCTTGTGACCGAGACGGTGAAGCCGCCTAGCCGTCCATGAGCCGTCTAGTTCCAATGCCCGGGCCGACGTGAGAAGTTGGCGCGACTGTAGTGTCTTCGAGCCCAGGTAGAAAGACTAGAGGTGTAGTCTGGCACCTGTAGGTGCTACCTAGGCCATTTCCAGGCGCATCTCGAAAGCTGGCGTTCAGTACAGTTCTGAGTATGGATCATGAGCCATTCCGATCTCGGCGGCAGAGAGTAAGCAAATTTTTGATTAAATCCAGATTAAATCTTCACATACGTGATATTACCACTCCTGGTTATTCCATCATGTGACTGATCGATAATCTGCTGGCGTAAACTAGCGTTGAATGGAACAATACAATCAATTACAACTCCGGTTGAAGTTCCTGTTCTTACTCTGGCGCCCCGCCTTCAACAAACGCATTCATTTCCCCTTCATACGCGTATTCGGCTGGCTCTTCCGTACTATATTTTCTAGCATTTTCTCTTTGCATGCTATGCACATCCCGCCTTTGTCCTCGCCCTCGCCTGTCATTCCCGCAAACGAAACTGCCCACAGCCGTAAAAGACAACGCTCTCAATCCATGTCCTCAGAACCATCCTCGTCCTCCCCAAAGCGTGCGGCCTCTGACGAGCCTTTTCAGGATCCGTCGCGCGCTGTCAAATCCCAGCAGTCGTCTGTCCCTTTCACCGCAGATCGCATCCCCAACGGCGACATCGACGCATACATGGCAGAGCAAGAAGGATCTGACGGCGAGGCCACCCTTTCTTCCCCTACAAAGAGGCTGGCCACAGTAGAAGAACTGTCCAAAGCCCCCATGCGCGTCAACGAGACCTGGTACGTTGTCTCCCCCTCCTGGTACAAGCGGTGGCGGAAAGCGCTCTCTGGCGAAGTAGACAAGGAAGGGCCAGTCAAAGAGGCCGACATTGGTCCTGTCGACAATTCGGACATTGTGTCTTCCACCGATGCAAATGACATAAATCAAAACGTGGCCCCGGATGATTTGGTGTACGTGCCACAGCAGGTCTGGGAATGGTTCACCCGTTGGTATGTGTTCAACGATACATTGCGTCTTGCGCTGTCGTCTTATTAGTTGACCGATGAGAAGGTATGGCCAGCCACACCAATCGTTACCCCGCAAGGTGGTTGCCAGGGGAGTACAGGCGGAGCTTTCACTCGAGCTCCATCCTCTCAAAATCAGGATGCATATATTATCTGCAGATACTGCCAGCCAACCTGAGACACCGCCGCGCTATGCGACCGTATCCTCGGTGGCATCGGTTACCGACTTGGTTACCACATTGGCTACATCTATGTCCGATCTAGCTGCTACTTCGTCATGGAGAGCATGGAAACTCGCCGACGACAGCCGTCCGCTGGATTCATTGTACTGCACTTCAACGCAGCTGAAGGAGCGCGGCGCCACATTAGTAGACCCAAGTACTCGGTCGGTAGAGGATGCGCTAATCCAATCCGGCGACTCCTTCGTATATGAGGAAGAGAGCCTAACCTCGTGGGTAGTCGATGCTAACACTGTGTCTGCACAGCCAGTCGCCGCATCTGCATCGACATCGGAGCCGATAACCACCAACAGCACCCCGCCGAAGGTTTTCGGTTCGGATGGCGATTTCTTCAGTCAGATGCAGGCCAAACTGACCTCGCCTGCGAAGACGTCCTTGGCCGCTCCCTCTGCTCTAAAGCCATCGGTTACTATTAAGCCGACTTCTGCCACATCCTCGCGCTATAAAGCGTCGTCCTTGGAGCCGGGGACGTTGGGTCTTGGAAATATGTAAGTGTCGTAGTGGCCAACGTGACTGCTGAATGCTCATCCGCCGTGAAGGGGCAATACCTGCTTCATGAATTCTGCGCTGCAATGTCTTGCGCATACCAAGGAGCTAATGGATTATTTCCTGAGTACGTTATAGCCGCCATGTACTTTACGCTTGAATAGCTCATGTCATCGCAGCTGGTGTATTCGAGGAGGAACTGAACCCTGACAATCCTCTCGGTATGCAGGGAGCCATCGCTCAAGCATTTGGCGCTCTTCTCCAGCGCATCTGGGCTACAGGCTCATCTAGCACATCATACTCGCCGCGCGAGTTTAAGCAGGCGTTGCAGCGATTCGCGCCGCAGTTTAGTGGGTATCAGCAACATGACTCACAGGAGCTTGTGGCGTTCTTACTCGATGGGCTGCATGAGGATCTCAACCGTGTCCTGAAGAAACCATACGTGGAGAAACCTGACTGGGAGGGCGGGGGAGACAAGGAGTTGGTCGGATTGGCTAACGAGTCTTGGCAAGGCTACATGAGGAGGAATGATAGTGTCATCGTCGACCTCTTTCAAGGCCAATATCAAAGTACGCTCGTTTGTCCTGAATGCGAAAAGGTAGGGCGTTTGTCTGTATGTCTGGAGTTCCTGTTTTCTGACATACTGACCCATCAGGTCTCGATAACGTTTGATCCGTTCATGTATCTCACTCTTCCGCTTCCGATTCAGAAGAAATGGAAGCATGCGATCTATTATGTACCGTGGAGCCTGGCAAAGCCACATGTGAAGGTATGCTGGCATCACTGTTGGACTTTTAGCGTCCTCGATCATTCATGTTTGTCTAGATACCGGTCGAAATAAACAGGGACGCCTCTTTCAAAGACCTACGGCAACTGCTGGGTCGTTGGATGGATGCTGATCCTGACTGTGTGAGAACATTTTGCCCGTCACTCGATGTTCATAGTTGCTAATATCACTGAAGCTATTGACGATGGAAACATTCAGCTCGCGTTTCTACAAGGACCTTGACGATACCTGTCTTGTCGGTGAGATGAACGACAATGACATTATCGTATGCTTCGAGTTGCCATGCCACGCGCAACAGAGCAGGACGTACAAGCAGAGCCCAGATGACCCAGTTATCATCGCCGTCAACTTATGTGATATTCCTGCACGTCAAGCCTATCGCTCCCAAAATCTCTTCGGGTACCCGTTTGTCATCGTGCTAGACCAAGAACAGGCAGCTGATCCCGATGCTGTATATGAAGCTATTATCGATCGACTACAGCGGTGGACCGACAATGCTCGAGATCTCTTTACCTGGGAAGCTACTACACCTGATTCGCTAAAGCCAGTTCGAATACCTCTTTCTGGTTCCGCGGTGGTGAATTCCATCACCGAGATCAAGGAGAACGGTGATGTTGTGACAGTCCAGGAGCCGACTATAGAGGAAGGCGATATCACCGACGAGAAGGCGACCGTTGTACAAGAGTCAGATGAAGTGCCTATGGAGATTGATGCCGACGAAGAGGTCCGCAAAGTCGGCGTCAAGAAGGACATTTTCAAACTTCGCATTCAAGCTTGTGATGCCAAGTATGGCATTGGTTATGGCTCGTATGGCACATCTATCCAGCGTTTCGATTTATGGGAATTTTACGCGTCGCAAACGAAGGATCTGCCGGATGGATCGTCAGCACCAGTCCTGCGCGAAAACAGCATACTCCTTGCTGAGTTCGATGAAAACATGAAGGCATACTACTTCGGTGATGGCGATGGACGCTGGGATAGTGCGCGATGGGATAGATGGCAAGCTTTTGAACACCCTGAGTACATTGCCAGTCGACAAGCGGCGGCTTCTATGAAAAACAAGGGCATCTCGCTTCAAGATTGCTTGGACGAGTTCACACGGGAGGAACAACTTGGTGCAGATGATCTTTGGTATTGCCCACGCTGCAAGAAGCACCAGCAAGCCATGAAACGATTTGACCTCTGGAAGGTGCCGGATGTACTTGTCGTTCATCTAAAGCGATTTAGTAACAGCCGGACGCTACGCGATAAAATTGACACATTCGTTGATTTTCCCATTAACGGTCTTGACATCTCGCCGATGGTAGGTGAACGCCAAGTCGCCCAAAGACTAGTCGAGCAAGGGGTGGACATAGCTCAGCTCGGATTGAGTGACATCGACGAACCGCTCATATACGATCTCTACGCCGTCGATGAGCATCTTGGAGGTCTCGGAGGCGGTCATTATCGCGCATATGCATACAACGATACTACCGACAAGTGGTACCACTTTGATGATTCTTATGTCTCACCGGTTCAACCAGAGGCGGCAGTGGTACGTTCTCAGTTTTGAAACTTTCACATAGGTTACTGAGATAGATGTTGTAGAATGCCAACGCTTATCTTCTCTTTTATAAGAGGCGTACATCCCGGCCCCTGGGAGGCAAGAGTCATGCAATGGTTGAGGCCGCTAGGACGAAGGCAACTGTTTCATCGACATCTACCCAGCCGGTTGATCCACCAGCCCAGACCGTTCTTACACCTCCGACAACAGAATCAAATAATAGTGTGGCTCCACAACTCGCCTCACTAGCTGGATTGAGGTCGTTTACCGACGATTGGCCCACCCAATCACAACTTTCCCCGGCATCTTCTCCTCCTCCGCTCGATGACGGTGAACCACCATCATTCGAAAATGCTCAATTTGATAGTGTCCTTCAAACTTCTTTGGATCCTCTCGCCATATCCACACATCGGTTCGACTATCCCAGTTCGTCGTCGAGAGACTCTCCGACCTCATCCATAGAAGCGTTACCGGATATGGATGATGCGGAGAATGCTGAGCAGCATATCGAACTCGATGAGACTCAGGTATCCTCCTTTGAACAAACTTTACGAAGAGCTGGGTTTGAGTCTTCTGTGGCAAGAAGATCTTCACCCAGCTCATGGAGTTTGGACGGGCCTCCTACCTATTCCGATGACGACCAAGACGAAATAGAATCTGTAGGTGCCGTGCGTAGCGGCACTCCTCTGTCGGACATTGATGTATAGTAGTAGATGACTGTTGTGCTAATCGCTGTCGATCAATGTAGAGCATGTTTTATTATATAATTCGATTACATGTACGTGGGCGTCTAATACCTATGCTGTTGAGCATTCGTATGGTGGCTGTGGAGTCTACAGCGTGCATGTTATCTCTCGAATATCTATCGGCGACTGCTATTTATCACAGAGAGTGGTAGATCTTGCATTGGTGTGACCCGAGGACGTTCTAGCGGAATCAGTCCCTGACGAAGTGAGATGAGTCGAATTCCCGCAGGTCTGCTTTATCTCGCCATCTACAACCCGACTCTCCATTCGGCTGTCCAGACCAACCATGACGATGAGGACGCCGAGGAACAAGCACAAATCCTATTTTACACCGCCCGCGAACGCGCTGTCTCTCGGGATCGTATGCTTCGACAAATTGGTTTGGCGAAGGCTTTAACGAACTTTGCCGAGTGAGTGCGACTACACTATTCAATATCCGGTGGCTACAATTGTGCGTCATTTTCAGGCTACTCCAATCAAATGATAGTTGTGAAAACGTACATGCTCAATCTAGAAGGATGATCATGGTGTCGCCTGAGCCGGACTATTGGATTCATGCAGTGAGTATCGTGAAATGAGACGGTGGCAGACTGGCCAATATATGCACTGAAATAACAGATGTGTCATAGTGCTTTGAGCTCGCCAAAACTCCAAGACCGCCAACTAAGGCGAAAGCGAAAGCAAAGAAGAGTGACCCAGTCGTCTCACAGGATGTGTCCTTCGACTTCCATGACTCCTCCATACACGATATTTCACTTCGAGAGCATCTATTACGTGGGTATGAAGAATTCAAGGTATGTCTTATCCAGAACAAATGCCTGATGCTGACGACGGCTGAAATCTACCCAGCTGACACATGGCTCTCTCGCCGGCATTCTCTCAACCGCTGGACAACAAGCCTTGGAGCTTCAGCTCGAGAGATTTTTCACCGTCTGGGCTTGGAGATGGGATGTTGAAAATGATGTCGATTTTGCCTCCTCTTTGGGTAATTGTTCACATTTCTATGTCTATAGATTCATCCTCATGAGTATTCTCACTCAACAGGCGTTCAGATACATCCACTAACGCATCTGTTATCTCCTGAGCTGGATAAACTTGAATCGCTCCTACCTGAAGACACCACTGTATTTGCCCTCGCGGCTCCGTTTGTCATCCCATCTTTCAAGTTCTCTGCATCAAAGTACCCCGCATGTCTCACTCATCACATATTATCCCGTGTACTACCTGTCCCTCTGGCGACCCCCAGTGATTCTCCCTCGACGCCAATAGAAACCGTACCTCCGACAGATACACTGCAGACGAGTGAGGGATTCTCCGCAACTGATGGTGGTACTGGTACATCTAATTCTTCCGTGGGTGCGGGCAGTATGCTCGCAATGCCGAGTGTAAGCCTCAACATGGATGTGCGCACACTCAAATGGGGTTGGCCTAGTTACTTTGCTTTTGGGAAAGGGACTACACCCAAGACATCTTATAGTCTTCCGATGCCTTCAGCACCAACTGCTTCACCTCCACTAGAACAGAGTGACGACGCTACTGAAGAATTCCATTCGCATGCACGTCAGGTGGCTGCAAATGAACCACTTGATGTCGATGCGGAATCTCTACGGGAAGCTATGTCCACTGAGTATGCGCACAGTGTTTCTACCCAAAATACACCTCCAGGTACACCTCCCTCCGCTCCCGACCGGATGGTCAGGAGTGACGTTCTCGGTACTGGGTCAATAACGATAGGGTGCCTACAAGAGCACTCCACCCCCGGAAGTAATGATATTCATGAAGATGTTGCACGCATTGAACCAGTCGTCCGCGTATCTGGGGCTGTGCCCGGTGCACAGCAGGCCGTATCATATTTTCCGTCTTTTACAGTACATTTACCCGCAGCCACAGATAACCGACGAACACAGCCTAGAACAATATGGACCTTCTCTGTACGTCTATCTTCTGTGTGTGGAGCGCGACACTCACTCTTTTTAGCGAGACCGCCTAATGTTGGGGCTAATACTCGATCCTGAATGTTCATACCGCCAGCATGAATTGATAGAAATTGTTGCTGAGACATTGGCGAGTCTAGTAAGCATCGTGGAAGAAAACGTTAAGAAAGTGTAAAACTTCAGTCATCTAATTTAGACCTAAAGTGATTCCACTGACTTCGTGCACCCAGGGACTCTACCACTGGACTGCCCACTGTGACCACAATTTTGCAGCCGCAAGATCATCATGTTGTATCTTCGAATGGTTTTACAAGCATATCTTCCACAGGGTTCAAAGCTGGCACAGAGCATCTGTTCTATTCTCGACAAATGTTCCAAAAGTACGCTTCTGATGCTTCTGACCTATGACATGGAATAGTGATTTAACCTGCGAGACAGCGACCCGGATGTATCTGAGATTTTTTCGCGAGGACTACATCCTCAGCACTGGCACATGGCAAAACGGGGTCTAGGAACAGATGAAGACGGGCGTCGAGCTGACGGCGAGGTATTCATGCAAGTAGCCCGAAAGGAAAGTACCCTCACAGATGTTGATAATGAGTTGAACGCTGTTGTAAGGAAATTCATAGGCAGTACTAGTGATGGAAACTAGATTTCAATATACTGTATATCCGTATGCTGAATTTATAAACGTAATGTCTCAATTGCGTGCACTAACGGTTTGAACCTTCTGTCAATGAACCTGAGCGTCAATTCGGGGCTGCATACGCTTGGGAATGCTAAGCCCCAGTATCATGTACACAGTACAGCGGAATGCCTCACCAAAGTGTATTGGTATGGTAGAGCGGATGGCTCCGGGACAGCCGCGTGACAGTTCGCTGGTAAATGTGCATCACATGATGCTCGCATTTTGGTGGCGCACGCGAGTGCAAGCTCATCCTTCTCGAGTGACTTGGTCCTCCAAAAGCCATATAGTGGCCCTTCTGTCTTGCTACTGCCACAATGGATTCTTCGTCTGCTTCTTCACAGGATCCCACCTCCATTCTCCAAAATGTTACCTTCAGCCGCAGCGAAGGGTCCCCGGTGTCTACTGACGATGCTGTCACTGCATCAGACCTACTTCTTGGTGCCTTCGATCCCTCCAAACTGCATCCAATGGCTGGTCTAGAGGATAAGCTCGACTATCTCTTGTTAGATGATGACAAAACCAGTGATCTCCCCGGCTCCAGCACGGCAATTCCCTCTCGGGGCTGGAGTGATGACTTGAGTTATGGTACTGGCACTATGTACCTAAGCGGTACGTCTCACTGCGTCGTGTCATGCATCTCCTGTACCGCATTCCCAATTCACAATTGCTATTCAATTTCAATCTCCTCGGCTGTACTCTCACCTTATCTCTCTTATTGTCTTTGTGCATCACATGTTCATCTCCAATGGCCTCAGGTCTCGCCCTTGGCGGTGTATGGGGTTTGCGTGAAGGCGCGCGAAGACCCTTAGCAGTGTCTAACGCAAGGCTGCGGATCAACAGCATCCTGAACTCCGTAACGCGAAGAGGGACATTCATTGGCAACTCAGCAGGCGTCTTAGGTCAGACTTCTTTCCTTAGTGATATTCGTCTTTTTGTTCTCACTGGTTGATGAATTTAGCCCTTGTCTATAACGGTCTAAATTCCAGTATTGACGGCATACGAGGCAAACACGATATACTTGGGAGCATGGCTGCCGGAGGGCTTACCGGGGCGCTGTACAAATCTACCGGTGCGTCCGCAAAACTTCCGTATCTGGTCTTTCTAATGCTCCCTTGTGGCAGCTGGAGTTAAGCCTGCACTAGCGGCAGCAACGTTTGTGTCAGCACTTGCAGGATTATGGAGCTATGTGAAACGAAACGTCTAAACTATACACGCACTTACTTAATACATTATATTTCTCCTTCGTGAGTTTTCTTTGTCGAGACCTGTCGCCTTTCCCTACAATTCTTTATGAGCTTTCGCAAAGTGAGTTCCATTATTGAGTTTCTTCAGATGCGATGCCCACCAAGAGTCACCCGGAGGTCGAGAGCGGCTCATCTATCAATGAACATATGGCACAGACTTCCCATCCAGTGGTATTTATGTTCACGCTCCATTGGTTCTTATTGTCTTGCATCTGCCACATGTACCCGTTCACTTTCTGCGGCGCCTAGATTTTATGCACCCTCATCGTCCCCATCGCTGTTTCAGTCGCCGCCGTCTCCGCGGAAAGCAAGGGTATGCCGTTGAGACGATGAGCTATTTTTCTAGTGCAAGTGCAAGCTCCAATCCCAAATTCCACGATCATGCGGTGGATTTAAACGTACGAAATGTCCCTGATATCCGATTACAAATCGAATTGCGTTCCACCATCCTTCATGAAGACAATGGGCTACGCGATGGATTGGTGAGTAATTTTTAAATGCTCCAAATTCTGTTCAATCTTAGTTACATCTTCTCAAGAATGCCGTGTCCTATACGACGGACGAACAGTCACTACGTTCTCCAGAATGCAAATCAGGGCGACTGACTGTGACTGCATCTGTGGATGGGACAAGCTCCGCAACTACCCCCGGAGAGCACAAGCTCTCAATCAACTTTCTGGCAGGCAATACAGGCATAATGAATCATGTCTCCTCAGATACAAATCCATCCTCGAAGTCGATCAGGTCGCCATCTTGTCGAATACTGCATAAAGGACATCCTTATGCATTAACTTCTCCGGGTCTGAAGGTAGCATCCAAATATCCCGGGGACGCTACTAGGCTAGAATATAGTTGTTTGTGATCGCTGTCATAGGCTCATAATCAAACAGATCTTACCGATTGGAGATTGTCCAACACCCGGTCAAATCGGCTGAATTTGGAGACTCTACCCTATCTCGTCTGCCCCTGGCCCCACCTCTCATTGCCCGACTTCTAATCCCAAATCAGTCGGAAACAGGGCCCATTGAGTCAGTATGTCAACATTACGAGATTTCTGAGCACTGATAGTGATATCTCCCGCAAGCGAGGCAGACCTCCCCTTTCTTGTTGCCCATCTTTCTCTGTTTCCTAGCAGCGGTTCAGCGATGACTGAGGGCAAGCGTGCCATGTCCCAGAGGATGCTTTACGGTAGTCTAGTTTCCTCTCCGCACATTCTACGAGACCTGCGTGGGAAGCAAGGCGTATATTTTTTGTTTCCGGATGTCAGCATCAAGCATCGGGGACAATATCAATTGGGTGTTGTTTTGCTCAGGCTGACCAGGCAAAATCCATTTTCCACTCTTTAGTGAAGGCAATCCTTGACAGTTTTCTCTCACCAGCGGTAGTGATCCAACCTTGGTTGCCAACGAAGCAGGGTCTGTTCTTGCTCAAGCCAGGTCTCTCCCATTTGACGTAGTGCCGCGGAATGACTACGTTGCGCCTGGTACACAAAGTTTTCTTCCTTTATTACTATCATTATTACACGTCTGACAACTTTGTTTTCTTCAGCACAGACCCCGCTCACTCAGTATTTTCTCCAACAGGGAGCTCGCATGTACGCTTTTACGTCCTCCGTTCAGTCTTACGCACGATTCCGCTGAATGTCAATAACTAAAGGGCTCCGCATACTACTTGCCGCCACGGTGAGTACTTTCATTCGCTAAATGTGCTAATGTTCACATTGGTACCTTTGTTCAGCTACGCTTAGCGCGACAATTATTTAGCAGACTGAAAATCATCCTACTTCGTTCCTCGCTTCGTTTTTTGAGTTCTGAGTAATGAGCTACATAGATATTTCGCCGCAATAGTAGCGTGCGCATCACCGAATGATCCTTCGATAATTTCAGAGATGCTTATGATACTTTCCAGCCCAATCTGCTCATTCAAGAGTTCCCAGATTTATGTGATATACACGTACTGAGTTGCAGTATGATGGTTATGTACAGGCGATACAGGTCTTCCTCTTTGTCTGCTATGCTAAACGCGACTTCACACCATTGTTACAGAAATACTAAAAGACGGTGCCATCACTCTCAATGTCAATCGGGGGACCTCCGGTAGCCGGACGCCTCTCCTTTGCAATCTCTCGGCCTGCTTTCCAAGTTGCGCTTTCTAACACTTGTGCCAGCGACAACTGCTCCGCAGTCAACCCGAGTTTCTGGCGAATTGCGGCAGCAATCCGGTCTCTATGGACCATGGACCATGGTCAGGTCTGCTTGGAAAATTAATACGAATGACAACTTGACTCACAATTCGATAACGGTCATTGCCCGCCATTCTACAATCGCTGGATGAGAAGGGGGCAGCCTTGGAATAGGCGAATCAGAGTGGGGATAGAAATTGGCAGGGAGCGCCCCATCCCTGAGGGTAAGTACGCCTAAATCGACGAGCAATCCACCTGCAACGTAGCGTGGAATTCGAAAACGACACATGAGCATGCGGACGAACTCTGCACAATCTGGTGAGACTATACCGTTGCGATATTCCGGCAAACCAGTCATGTGTTCCAATCCTTCAAACTCCCAGCCCAGGACCTTCTGAATAGGCTCAATCAAGCTGTATGTGATCCAACCCGTCAGTTTGTGGAAAGGTACGAGCTCATCCCCTTCTGCCACTGCACTTGACTTCAGAGCGTTACATGGCCAAACATCACCGAGCAAAACGCCACCCAGGGTAGTCCTTGTCGCAGGCCAGATTGAGGCGAGACCCTCGATGAGGACAGTCCATAAACAGAAAATATGGACACGTCGCGTAGATCCCTCTGCGATTGACTCGGACTCCAGGAAGTCTAATGGTTACCATGATATCTTGTTCCAGATATATCAGAGTCTTGTAATCAACTGACCTATTAGGTTACCTGGCCTGGCATCAGACCCAAAATAGGCCGGTTTCTCTTCCAAGGCCTTGCTTAGATGAATGAGCAGAGATGTTCGCCCGTCGATGCCGACCATGGGATTAGAATCATTGACCTGCATGGCAGCAGCGGTCATTTCTTGTGAGATACACGACAATCCTGCCGCTAGGAATAGTACTTCATAAGGATCAGAATAGAGATTAAGTGGTGTTCAGTTCACCGTCTACCCGATGAGGGTTACTCCTGTCGCTGGAGAAAAAACCGTCCTCGAACATATTGATGCTAGCGACGCCCAAACCTTCAGATCTTGTGAACTTCATGTCTGACTGCTTTTCGTGATACGTCCATGTATTCCCAGCGCCTGCATCGAGTAACACAGACACCAAGAAAAGGTCGATGAGGCGTTTCGTAATTTCCTTCTGGCTCGGAGGGTTTGCCGCTATTTTCCATTGCGCAATCAGAGGCTCGACTCTGGGACGACCGGCATCCAAGTGGCGCCAGCGACCATGTGGAGGAATCTGCACAATTATAGACGATTGTTGCTGGAAGCTGAACGTACACGATACTCACCGACGCGAAGTCAGATCCAAAATCGCGCTATGCAGAATGAATGAAAGTTCATTGGCTATCTGTTCAAACTAGAAGTGGATATCCGAACAGACGTACTTTGATGATATCAACGCAAAATTCTGCGGCATTAGCCTCTTTCTCTGGGTCGTATGTGAAGTAATCTAGCTTGCCCTGCCGTGCAAGAGTATACACCCGTCCGCATCTTTCGCGAATTGCTGGGAGTGTTCGAAGATACGCTGCCGTCTGCTCAGAAGTAAGAGGTTGGGCTAAACTCATCATGATTGTCCACAGTGCGTGTAATATCGTCGCTGCTGGCGATCACCTTTGAAGTAGAGTGGCAGCCCGAAGTTACGTCAACTTGAAGAACTCATGCAGTAGCGGGCGTCATCTCATTTATAATATTGAAGTAGTCGTTCAGTTACACTGAATATTATCCAGTCCGTACTACCGCTTTATTGTACACTGGACCCAACTTCAGAACAACTCTTTGCCCAGAATGGGTGCTTCCACCAAATTCCCTCCACCTTACACACGTCTACATACCGTCCACCTACGTTGGGAATCTCAGAGCGTTTCAGATACCATAATTCCTCAACTCCAATTTTGCGCGCGTATTCAAATAATTTATTGTAATTGAGTCCTACAGCGTGCGGTCCATGACTGTCATCTGATAGTGCGAAGCGACCACCGCTCTCCAAAATCAGCTAATCCAAGAGTGAGCGCCCTAATAAAAGTGAAGCGGACTGACACTTACCTTTGCAGCATCCTGACCGGGGTATGCAGCAGACCAGCCCTTCCTCAAAGCGGCAGCATTAAGCTCAAACAAGGCGCCATAGCCAATAGCATATCGAACATTCCTCTCCAGCCTCTGCCAAGCTGAAGGATAGTCGGCGAATCGAAGCGAGGGCCGGTAGAGCCGACAGAGATCCAAATGCCCGACGACTTCAGGGTGGAACCGCGTAAGGATTTGATAGTGAGCATCGAAGTAAGCGCACAAAAAGGTCTCCATCTGCTCATGAATATCTTCGACTGCAAAGCTGTCAAGGCACTTCTGAAATGTCGCCTCATCAAAGTCGATGGGAATGGAGTTGACATGGTGAACAGATCCGACGAGGTATTCAATGTGCCCTTTATTGTGAATAACCTCTTCGAGTGCTTCCAGGTCTACGTCCGTAATGTACTCCGTTTCGAGGCCGACCAGCAGCGTAATCTTCTTTGCATAGTCTTCTTTCAATCTGGATGCCTCGATCAAGAATTGCTCGAATTGGGCGCTGAGCATACTCAGCTCCATCCCTTCCTTTCCGTCGGCAGAGCCAAAAGCGATAACAAATCCAGCTGGGCACAGCACAAAAGAGAGAAGGAGATATGTACCTCTTCCGGATAGAGATCTATAGCACGATATCGGGGTACGTGCTCTGTTAATCCATACACTTCGAAGCCTTGCCTGGCAGCTTCCACGACAACATCCTCAAGTGTACCCGCCGCATGTCTGCAGAATTGGCCGGAATGAGAGTGGTGGCTGTGAGGCATGGGGAAATTGCCTTCGGCATCAGTGAGCATTGCCCATTTCCGCCGAGTTGGTAAGCTGAACTGACCTGTACGTCCTGGAGTGAAGTACAGCTTCGCTGAAAGGCACGATGAATGTAGAGAGTATCTATCTTGCGTAATCTCGCAGCAGTGCAAGGCAGTGAGTCGGAGTGACTACTGGGAAATTCAGAGAAGCGAAGACGACACTATAGCCTTCGGCGTCTGCACGTGTTGTGGCCGCAGCCACTCATATAACCGCTCGCGTGCCCGAGCATCGTTCTCACTCTCCTCCGTCTCTTCTCTGCTCACCTCCCGCCTACTACAATGTCCAACCAAGACTACTACAACAACAGAGGCCAGCAGCCGTACTACCCACCTCAGGGTCAGCTCTAGAGTACTTCTAGCAATATTTCGATGTTGACAAGATGCTATAGGACCTCCGCCTGGCCAAGGCTACTACCCCCAGCAACCACAACAAGCATATCAAGGTGGGTATGGCCAGCCCCAATACGGTGGGCAACAGCAGCCTTACGGCCAACAATACGGCGGCCAACCATACCAACCCCAGCCACCGCCCCAAACGGGCTACGTGTAAGCGTTTACTTGCATT